GTATTGAATTAATATTCGCAAGTTTTTCTCTTTCTATTGTTCAATTATTGTCATTAGTAATCTTCACAGAAAAAAAAACTCGAACGTTTCATTTTTTAAAACATTATCAGAGTTAATTGCAGTTTTTTTTATCAATGTTCTAAAAATTGTACTTCAGAAAGTACTATTTAACTTTTGCCAGAATCAATAGAGGGTGTGTGTAAAAGAAGATCCTCGTTCACATTTACAACTGTCTACCAGTAATAGATCGATTCTTACCAAGAAATCTTCGTGCATACTGAACTCTCGCAAGTTACTAACTTATATCGTGCATCTAAAATATCTGAACAATTGTGTAGTAATATTTTTCGCTCCGCAAAAAAGTTTTTTATCTACATCCTCTCTAGGTGTTTTTTGGCCAAAGGGATGCATAAGCACCCATTATACTCTTCTGTCTACGACCCTGATTACCGGTACAGTGGTTTTATCTATGGGTACACTTACAAATGTAATTATTTGTCTCAGTTATTTCTACTTATCTAGTTTAGAGAGAAATAAAATCAATGCTCATCATAATGGCATGCATCAATATTTTTTTGCATACGAAGAAACTCATTGACAAAAGTAAGATATGATATTCTATTGTTTGTTTTGCTATTGACAAATCTTTTTCTAATAAAGTTACAAACCATGTTGTTCACTCAAATAACAAATATTTCTCGATAATTAAAATTCCAAAACTACTTTGTAACACATTTCTTGGTTTGAATAGAACTGAAATGCTATCTATTTATGAAGATCAACTCTTAAATATCAGTCGTGAACAAGTCGTATATTCTAATCTGGTTTTTATAATGCATTTTTTGACTCAGACAGAATACTAATTTTAATAATAAAAATCAAGTGTTACAATTTGAAGAGTATGAAGATTTGATGTGATTGTCAAATCATATGACAACAAACGTAGAAAGTCTTACTGATTTATCAGAAATAAGTTTTTATTCGACTTGTGATAATAAATAAATATTATTTCAAATTAAACGACAAAAGAACACTTCACTCTTTTTTTTTTCTAAAATCTTTTCAGACAATATGTTTTTTAACTTCTAATTATTGTTGCATGAAGAGACAACATGACAATAGAACTAAAACTTATACACATTTCTTTCAGTTGAAATCACAAAACGTAAGATTTTCATTGAATGATTCTTTATTAACAAGAGGTAAGTGCAAGTTTTTAACTGCCAGTATTTAAGCACTTTTCAAAATTTTGTTTAACACACGATGCCTGTAATAATCCCATAGACTCTATTTAACTTCTAAGAAAGTTCTTGAAAAATTTCTCTATGATACGGATTTGGGTGACGAAAAGAGTCCAACCGCCACACCGAACATTGCTTTGAGAAAGTAAAGATCGAGCTATTTGTATGTACTATATGAAAAACCTGATGTCGAGCAGACATATGATCGATATCAAGTTGAAAGCAGCTGACTTATCATCTCGATAAGTTCAATAAACACTAAAATAAGCTCCGATAAAAATGAACTACAATTTAATACTCAACGTTCAAATAAATCAATTTTTACTTCATGTCTACAAATGACAAAGAAAGATGTCTTTTTTTTAAAGTTTTTTCAATTGTCTTCATGTTCAACCATCTAGAATCAAAAAAGAATTATCACAAAATAGTCTACTGAATGTCATAAAAGTTTTGCAACATTTTGTATTTTTCATTTATCGTAGATCAGACAGAAGATGAAATCTTGAATTTAATTTCGAAAAATATGCACTTCAATTCTCTACAAACTTGTATTTATCTTAATTTAAAATAATGGCATTGAATATTTTTATAGATCAAATAGTGTGATTATATGAATTGCATATATTTCTGTGAGATGTTAATTCCACTTCTACTTTATTTCTACAACTGTATCTATTAGGATAAAATCATTCTTTTCATAACAACGAAACGATATATATAAAGTGATAACAAGGGTTGGACAACTCCTATAAACGATGAACAAGGAAAAATCCATATATATAATACAAAAGAAAGACGAATAGAACGAAGTGGAAAATTCCAACATATATCGAAGGAAAGGAAAAATCCATTGTGCATGACTAATAATACGGGAAAAGTAGATGGACATAAGTTCATAGGTATAATCCTATAGAAAAGAGGGAAAATCTTTATGATTGCATCTGAAGAAGATGCAGATCATAACAATTCTCCACACATTATTTTACTAAGTAGCTTTTTTCTGTACGAACAAATATTTTGCTTTTAGAAATAACAGACTATTAGATAGCTCTTCAAAGCTTCAATCGATTTTTTATATATCTAACATTTATTCTTTCCATTAAACAAAATTTTCTGCAAAGTAACATCTCGGAGTTCGTTTTTTCCAGTATTTTGTAGAAAAAAGACTTCTCTTTCTAGCTGAAACTGAGAAAAAATCTGATAAAACAACTCCGTTCGAAGAACAATCTGAACATGACCAAGAAGTCTGTTTTTAAATTGACTTATCAAACAAATCACTTTTATTAGGCTCAAATAAATTGTAATCGAATGCATACAAATTATTCTAAAAGCGCATTAAAATATGGCCGTATTGTTAATAATAAGCTTCTTAAGCGTCTGTTTATGACAGAAAAAAAATCAGAAAAAGCATAGTAAAAAGAATGTGTGCGAAGTTGATGAAATTCATATAGATGCACTATTTGACCGATAAAAACTTTCATTTTTGTTATTTACAATTAAAGTAAATACACTTCCGTAAAGGACTGAATTGCGCATTTTTGAAAATCTAAGTGAAAATTTTCTCTTTTATGGGAACTGACATATATGAAAAACACCAATTGTTGCAAAACTTTTATGACACCCAGTAACTATTAATTTACTCTTTAATAAACATTATAATTCTTAATGCATTAATAATCGTAATTCAATCTATAATTGAAAACACAAGAATCAAACGATATTTTCTTGCATTTATTGTTTTACATTGACACCATCACTTTTAACGTTCGGTTTTTGTAGTTCTGATACCGTGCTCAATGCCATTTCCTTTAATTTTGTGTTACGTTCATCGATCTTCTGCCATGTCGTTCACATCGCTGTTCTTCTACGTAAAATTGAGAATTAACAAAGAAACTCGAAAATTTTATAGCCTCAATAGTTGAAAATATTCAAAGTCGCAATAAAGTAATTTGATATTCATCAAATATTGCTTTAGTTATATTCAATAGTGAAGAAGATTCATTTGATGAAATTGTTGATGTAGAAAAAGAAATGCTTGATTTACTTAATGAAGACAAACCAAGAAAATGAACAAGGCAACTTATAGTTATATTCTATTCTATTCTTCTTTTCGATCGAATATTTTCTTTGATAGAGGCATGGCACCATGTTTAATTCGTTATTATGCAAAGTGCTCATTAATAATTCAGCTGTTTCCACCAATTGTTTATAGTCGATGATTAAAAACAAGAAAAATTGAAGAAAAACACATTGTAACATTTATTAGGTTTGAATATAATATCGCTAGAGATAGAATAAAACACTTTGGTGGAGGTGAGTAACACCTTTCTACATGTTCACAATCGAAACAGGTTAAACCAATATGACAAGTCTTTCAATATTGATCTGTTTCGTTTTAATGTTCAGAATTGATTAATTAATTTAATATAGCAATTAAAATTAAAATCGTCGAGTTTCTTAAATTGATAATAAATTCTATGTCCTTGAAATCGTGATATATCGAAACGATAACCATGCTGAAATATATCAATTCAAATACTGAGTGCATCCTTTCTTTTGCATATTTCTTCTCCTGTTTCACATGGATCTTTCCTCATTCTTTCTCTTCATATATGCAATTGATTTGTTCAATAGGAAACAAACATAGATCACATCTAGGACGCTTACTATTTCTTAACGATGTCTTCTACTTGGTGTAGGATACCTCTTTCGTCTATCACATGTTAAGAAAATTAACGAAAGACATCATTCTTGTTAATGGCATGACTTTTGTTCATTGACAATAACAAAAACATGACGAGTTATAAAAATAAAAATTTTAGCATATAATAATTACTCACTTCAATGTCATTGTACTCTATCCTTTCGGTTCTTTTTTCTCGCTTTTTTCTCTCTTTTCTTTTTTTCCTTTTGGACCCTTTTTTTTCTTCTTTTGTGTTCTATTCTCTCTCTCTATCTCGGTAGGGCCTTAAGGAAAATGCAAGGTCTGCGTCCAATTCAAAATAGAGTATCACGTGTCTTTGTTCGAATGTAATAAATGTTCTGCTTAAGTTATTTTCATAGCTATGTCTGCCATATAAATTTATTATGAATGGTTTCGAGCGACGCAATAAACTTACACAATCAAAAAGAAATGTATACCTGATTCGATTAATCTTACGATAAACAACCAGGCGTTTTTTTCTTCTTGTGAAAGTGCAACTTTATCAAGTTGTTTTTTTCTTATTTGTGGTGAAAAAGCATTAATGTTTCTAGAAGAATTCTTCCGATATTTTCAAAGAGATTCGAAAATACCGACAAAATAACGATATGTCTTTCAAGAAACACTCAACAGATGAAAAATCTATGAGAGTATTATATATTGTTTGCATATCACGAAAAAATGATCCTATTGGAACTACGTAGTGAATGATTATTGAAATGATAAAAAAAAAAAAAACTAAAGTTCGACTGATTCATAGCCATTCACAATAGAATACCGGCACATCAAAAATACGTAATCATCTAATAATTGTAAAATATCAACACACGTCATGTCTACTATTACTTGTCATTGACGACTGGAAGGAAAGAAAAGAAATAGAGCAGGATTTTTCTTATTGGTAGTCGTTTATTCTCCAAGAATGAATCAGAGAAAAAAAAATATTTGTCAAGACCGTGTGAAATTACCCATACAGAGGTCCCTATTTATTCTGGCGCAACTTGCACATTTACCGAACACTATATATCAACATTCCTCTTTTATAAGTGAAGTACAATATGACTGAAAACTCAATTTTATCGACGCAAAAAGCCAGTGAAAAAGCAATGACAGATATTCTTTCACAAGCACGTAAGTAGTACAAGGCTCTGTTGGTGTTAGCATGTAAAGATAAATATTTCATTGATATTTATTCTTTTTTGTAAAGGGCAATGAAAATGAAATAACACCCCCCTATTGTGTATCGTCATTTGTAAACAATACTCATCATTGAGTTTCTTAGTTTTACCAGAAGAAGATATTTACAGAATAAATTTCAAATAAATTCTACTTTCTAGAAAATCGAATTAGCAACTAAAGATCAAACATTTTCAAATTATTATTAATTATCGAATGATTTAATAATTTTGCAGAAAATGCTTGATTTTCAGTGAAGTAGAATTTCAATATGATTTTCTGAAGTAATCAACAACAATTTTTAAATATGTTTGAAAACTAATTCTGCAATCATAAAAAATCAATCTAGATTTTACAAAAAGAGAAAAATCAACATTACGTTTAAAAAAACCATTTGAATAATGGCAATTATAGAATCGTTGTTTTCTCTAACAGCTTCAGTTGGTGCATAGCAATCCGTCATACAGTGATGAAAACAAGCAATAAATTATTTATAATTGGCCAGAAGAGATAGTAAAAATAATTTTTCTTTCTGAAAATATTTCCTATAGGTCTTACTTAAAAAAAATTTTTTTTGAACTACTCGCTGTCGTTCACAGATCATTCTTGCGTGCGAAGTCGATTCTTCACCTTGAGATGCTTTTTTTTTTATAACACAAGAGTTCATTTACATAACAGAAATTCTCTAGTAGTAGTGATGTTACTTTTGTGTAAAACCATAGCCTCCATTCAATATATATATATACAAAAAGTTTCGTATGGTAATCATGTTTTCTTCTTTTCATACTTTTAAAATATAAGTAGAGTTAAGGTTATCAGTAAAATCGATACAGATGTGAATGAATACTTTATTGTAACGATGAAGTGTAATAATAGATATTCAATTTTCTGAAAAAATGTTCAGAATGCAAAATGGGTTCCGATATTCTAGACATACCCATATCGATAGGATTATGAGTTTCTAAATATAAAATTGAAACTTGAATTTCAAACTTTCATGAATATAGTATTTTTAAGAAAATAAAATTCATTGTCGAATCGTAGAGCCATTCCTAGAACATCCGTTTCTGTTCTCTGTAACTTATTTTCTATTTTACAATGTGAACAAAAATAACGATTATTTTTCAACGTGAGAAGATTAATATGATTTTTCTGAGGAAAATGGACCGAATACTAGTCATTTCCAAGGCGCCGCATATGCTGTAGAAAAGCCGCAGAATAATAAATGTTTGAAGGATTTATGAAAGTCTAATGTATAAAGAATTCTTTTCCACTGTTTATGAAAAGCTCCGAAACCCTTAAAACAGGGATTATTAAGCGACTTTTTAACTCTCAATACTCTTCTGAAAAAGTTTCTCAAAGGGTTCATAAGGTTAATAAATTCTAAAAGAGTGCACAATGTGTTGCACTTTCATAAATATCTTCAAATAATAGTCTAAACACTATTTGAAAAGGTTGATAAAAACATTTTAGCCGAGCATCTCGCTTAAAAAGAACATTCGGAAGCGTTCCTGACCATCGTAAATAGTTTATGATACTATATATGAAAGGGATTATTGGCTTCATCAGTCATGTGAAAAGTTTACGATAAGGTATATGGAGCAGTTTTGAGGGCTGCACAAATACGAATACAAATTGTATTTCGAAATGAGTATGACACCCTAAATACTTAGATTCTGATAATTTGCTAAATGCAAAGCATCTATTGCAATTCAAGCCGGTAGGGTGTGAAGTGTGGATATGTTCGTATGGGAGAAAAAAAATGCTATGTACACACACCCTCAAGGTATATTCGTGACTTAGTTCTGAAAATTTTCTGAAAACAGTGGCAAAGTCAGCTCGTCTCGTCCATAGAAAAATGATTCATTGGTGCTATTCTGACCGGTGCGAATGGGTGAGAAAGAGATGCACAGAAATTTCAGCCAATAATGCCTGTGTAACTTTCCTTAACCGTTTCTGTAGAAGTGCTTAATGAAGAATGTATGCATGAACACCGGAGTTAACCGTTGTACTCTATTGTCTCTTATTACTCTGTATATCAAACTAATCGCAAACAATGTCGCTGTATACAATGTGTCCTATGCATACATCGACCATACGAGTCGACACGGAACAGAGTTTATTCGATTAAAGTTTGCGACCAATTATGGTACTTACATGTGAAAATCAACACTGAAACTCTTTCAAGTTCTATAATCGATATCTGTGTCATGATGTGGCACTTGATCTATTGTCTTAGAATGTGTAGGCTTCTGTAAGAACCACCAGTACGTTGCAAATCATTCTTGAGTGTGCATGAAATGTTGAAGGCAAAACAACGTAGTCATAGAGTTCATTCATTGTCATAAGATAATCTCAAAGCATGACCAACCTTATGTCTCCTATTCATTTCTCTGTTAATTCTTATGCAGAATATACGAATACGCATTAGAATCGTGACGATACAGAAAAGTTAATCAATATAGACGGATCACATAGCAAAAATGCCTGATCATAAACGACTGTGCAGGTTTACAACAATTGTAAATCTAGTCATAAGTACTGATCTCTAATGATAACGATAAACTCCACTCACCAATAAAGTTCTTAGAGATCAGAGAAGTAAAATACGGCAACTGCCGTGGTAATCTTTTGTTAAGCTTACGGATTAAATCATGATCAATCGTTATTCATTATTAGAATTATTATGAAAACTGATAAATCACAATTTTATGACGACTTTTAGAAATTAGTTCAAATCAATCGGATTTGTCCAACATGGAAAAATTCGAAAAAATAGAAAATCAACTTGATACCAACGGACAAGAAAAATTACACAATGGACACGTTGTGGATGGAAAAATGTCCGACAACAATATGAAACAACAGGAAGTGCTTAATAACGACATACATGCATGGCGAAAAAATGATTCAATTGCAAATCGAAGTAATCCTGGGATGTTCAGACAATTGAGTCAAGGTGAGAAGACTAGAATATTGTTATCTGACATGATAAAGCCATTTTTCTTCTCTCCGAATATCTATCGTTTGAATCAAAAAGAAATCTTCCACATATGTAATGTACAAATGTTTTTATAATTATGAGGTTAAAAAATACCGATACCAACCTATCTATTTCCGTACAAATTTGTGAACTTACACACATAGAGAGATGAGCTTTCTAATTTTGTTTTGTTCGAGTCAATAAAACTCCTTTGTTTCTTTTCCGATTCTAGCTTGTCGTGATCGACTCGTACGAACACCAACGGTTATTGTAAGTTCAAGGTTCTATTTCATTTACATTGTATTCGAAAAATTCCATGTTCTAGATCATGGTGGGCTTACCAGCACGTGGCAAAGTAAGACCTTTCGCGTAGTTTTTTAGAAATAGAAAATATGAATTCTATTATATTTTAGACGTACATGGGTCGAAAACTAGCTCGATATTTGCATTGGATTGGCATCAAAACGAAAGGTTTGTACGCATTTGGGATAGAAGCTTTTGCAAGCGTATACTCTCTTATGTATATCAATTGACTATTATTAGGAGTCTTTCATAATTGCGTCTATTCACGATGAATACTGTCACCATCAACATATAAACATGAATAGAACTACACTTATCGATTCACAATTGAACATCGAGAAGATTGTTGAGAAATTTTCAGTGGAAAATAGTCGCATTCCTTTCTCTTCTATATATGGAGCAGAGACAATTATCTGTTAATTTAATTATGAATTGTCAGGGTTTCCTTAGCGCATTTAATACTTTGACATCTAAGTAAAATATCAATAATTCTCTGAGACATCAGAATGACCGACATACTAGCTATTATTTTTCACTATTTGTCTACAGACAAATCTCTCCGGAAGATAGTCGTCATATAGAATAATGGTTTCTTTCGTGTGTTTACAGTATTCAATGTTGGTGATTATCGTCGTGATGCTGTGAAAGTATATGCAGGCAAGGAATTTTTCGATCCGAATAATTCTGAAGCAGTAGCAATACGAAAGTATGTATTTGTTCATGTGTGTTTAATACAAGCTCATTATGATAAATGTTAATTTTATTTGTTCGTATAGCCAATGTGCTGAGAATGCATTAGAAGATATGTGTGATTTTCTTCAAAGTCAAGGTGAAGTAGCTATATTTGATGCAACAAATACAACTCGTGAACGACGACGTACAATATATAATTATTGTACAGAAGTATGCTGTTTTCGTGTATTTTTTGTTGAATCAATTTGTGATTCTCCAGAAGTTATTCAAGCAAATATTCGAGTATGAAAGTGAAATGAATTTCTTTCTCATTGATAAGATTTGTTTGAATATGGCAGGAAGTGAAACTCAAAAGTCCTGATTACAAAGATGTACCACAAAAAGAAGCTGTCGAAGATTTCCTTTCTCGTATTGAACTCTATGCAAAACAGTATGAACCGATTGATGATAAGATAGAAGAAAAGCATTATTCATTTATCAAAATTTTTAATTGTGGTGAACGATTTCTTGTTCATAAGCTTGGCGGTAAGTGTAACATATTAATAAACTGACATTTCATCTGAGTTTTATACATTTTAGGAAATATTCAGAGTCGAGTCGTTTATTTTCTCATGAATATTCATGTTCTTCCGAGAACTATCTATCTCACTCGGGTCAGTTAATAGATCTTCTAACTTAATAAAAAAATGATTTATTTCGGTAATGTTTAGCATGGTGAATCGGAAATGAATGTTCAACAGCGTATTGGAGGAGATTCACCATTATCACCAGCTGGTGAAACGGTACTGATTGTTATTATTTTTTCAGATTTGCCATTGTTTGAATATATTTTATTGTAGTATACGGAAGTTCTAGGTCAATACATCGCGAAGGGTAAGACTTTCTAGAGTATTGTTTTTGTATTGTGTCTTTTGTAAACAAAATAGAAAACATCACGGATTTGATTGTTTGGACAAGTGAAAGGCAACAAGCGATCAACACAGCAAGAAAGATCAATGCCCCCAAGGAGCAATTGAAAGCTCTCAATGGAATCAGTGCCGTAAGAAAACTTAGTCTAGAACGATGATAAGAAACGAGTTTTTATATTTATTTAGGGTATGTTTGAGGGTCTAACCTACCGAGAAGTAGCTGAACGCTATCCTGAACAGTTTGCTGCTCGTGATCAATCCAAATACTACTATCGATATCCGGGTGGAGAAGTAAGTTATTATTTTTCTAGTTTTATAAGGATGCATGAGATTTTGATCGTAATCTTGGTATAAATTTGATTTTATAGCTTTAAAGTAGATTATCGAAAAATATTATCTATACATATTCTATGAGCTGATTGAAAATACATCTTGCATTTCCTATCACTAGTTTTCACTCTCAGTTCAAAATTGAAAATGAACTTATATATCATATGAAACTAATTTGTAAATAAGAAAATCCTATCAGACAAAACTAAAGTGTAAAATTTATTATTAAGATGATTCGTCGGTTTAATTACAATTAAAAGAAGTGAGTAGTCGTTGTCCGAGAAGAGTCGAAATAGACCAGCTAACTTTTGTTTGTTACAAAATATATTAAACAACTACGTTCAGATAACATTAATTTGAATATTGATTTATTTAGAATAACTTTTAAACTAAAATATTCTCATTTGTCATATAGTCTTATCATGATCTTGTTGCTCGACTCGAACCAGTGATCATGGAATTGGAAAGAGCAGAGAATTTACTTGTCATCTCTCATCAAGCTGTAGCTCGTTGCATTCTTGCTTATTTTCTCGATAAAGATCCTGGTACGTAGATATCTTTTGTTTTTCATCTGATACTATTATATGAAACGAGATCTTTGCTAATATTGGATATATATATTTCAATATAGACTGTCTACCCTATATCAAAGTGCCGTTGCATACAGTGATTAAATTGACACCGACGGCTTATGGTTGTATGATTGAATATATACCATTATCAGTTGAAGCTGTAAATACACACCGTAGTAAACCAAAGGTAAATACGAATTTAATTATTACAAACACTACTTTACTATTATTTCTTTTTTTGTTTTTGTTTCTATCTAGAATTGTGACCCCAATCGACCGGTTGCAGAGGCACTTAATGAATTTCACGTCTCATGTTTAGAAGCCAAACCGGGTCCAACGACATGCCAGATCATTTACCAGAATGCTGGTACAACTATTGAAACGACAGATGCTAAAGGCAATCGACTACAGCGTATGGATAGCACATTTGGTGATGTTTCAGTGAATAAGGATCTTTCATTATCTCACGATGGTAAAATCCAACAATCATCAACACCTAATTGAGGATATTGATCAACTGCTTTTCCATTTTCCCCTAATTTGCATGTATTTATGTTGCTTGTGTTGCTTATCTTCATTGTTCAAGTTTTATTATAATTTTCTCTCATAACTATGTACAAAAATAATTCAATTGTATGTTTTACATATTATACATAATGTCTTACAAATCAATTTTAAACTTGCTCATCATATGAAGCATAGTCGATTTGCAGAGTAGACTTCAGAAAAAATGCACTAATTAGTAGATACTATTTTCGTCCGTTTTCGATTTGTCTTAGTATTTTTTCGAACAGATCAAACTGGATAAATTATTTGATACTACTACTGTATCGAAGTTTCAAAGCCGAGTAGAAAATTATATTTGAATCCTTTGTCTCTCGTTAGGAAGATTGAAAATTTAGGAAAAACCATGCAAAAGTTGACAAAATATTAATTCGGATATTTTCACAAAATAGCACCAGACATACAGGGAATTATTCGAGACTAGGTAGAATGACATGTATCATTATGATGCAAAAAGAAACATACTTGCGTTGATCAGACTGAACATATTATAAATAATCTAGAATTCATAGAAGAAGAATGGTTTTTGTGCCAGAAATGTGTTGCATCTATTTTTTACTAGGAGTGATCCCACGATCAGCTAAAATTACTAATTGTAATATAGACACTGCTACTCATTAATTTCGTAGCGTCTATCAATCAACGGTATTTTCAAGAAACAAGAGATAATCAACGGATGATGATCGAAGGAAGCTTTCTTTTTCGTACGTTGTATTACAGACCCATGATACGTGACAACATAGCGATTGATTTCCTTTTACTTCCAAATTAGTAATGACCACAAATATGTATTGATTCGATGGAATAGCTCTTGTTTGTACGCCAACAGCATGTGTTTCATTTGTATAGTGGCTTAGAAAACTATGCTTTCCGTTATTGTTGTGTAAAAGTGACAACGTAGTCATCATGGTTAATACTAAAGAAACCTAAGAGTAGACCAGTAAGATTGTAACTAGACTTTCGCTATGCATTTCTTATTAGATCCATCATTCGCTAAATTGTCAGGCATGTAAAAACGTCTTCAGAATCAGATGAACGCCATGTTGCATGAGACAACCTTGTTTTCTAGAGTAGAAAAAAAAGCATTGGTACTGTTCAGAAAGCGCACTATCAGATTTTCTACACTTTTGACTGCTCATCCATATTTCTTTTTGTTTTACCAAAACTATCGTTGGTGTTTTACGATGGCATTTTGATGTTACTGTTGAAACCGTTTCTGAAGTCAAAGTGTTCATGTTTACTTAAAGAAAGTAATGTGATGCGAATTCTATTGGTCAAGTTGCAGTATGGATATGAAAGCAGTGAGAGATTTTCTAACAGCTGCTTATTCGATATTTTTATGAATCAAGATTTCCATGAATATATTAAAAAGGATCGAATCCGTATAAATAATCTTTGATTGACTGTTGCTCTCTAGAATGTAGATGTCGATATCGAGTGTAGTTATGAATATGTACATCATCTTCACCTGCGCAAAGATAAACCTGTATCCACACACACCTTCTATGATATTTTGTCATGCTACATATATATTTGATTTCATTCTGATAACATCATTTAATATCGAAAAAGTTATATAGAATATATTATATATACTATCGTGAAAATCACTAAATCAAATAGTTTGACACGTATTTTCTCACTCGAATAAAGTTAATCATATCGGTCAAAAATAATAAATTCATGAAGAAAACAATTTCATAATTATGTTTTTTTTCAAAAACAAGAAGTCAGTTCGAGTGGTAATTCATTATTAGTTATAACCTTAGATCAATCATATTGATATAGATTTAAGTTGATTCTACCGTACACTTAAAAACGAATGACGAGCATTTTTCTTTATTATTTATGTTTTTATAAAGTCAAAAAAAGAATCATAAACAGTTATTTTAATGGTTGATTTACACTGTTGCATTACAAACAATGACAATATGAAAAGAAAAAGAACCATATGATGTTCTTGAATTTTTCAGCGATTACGTACCTCAGAAAATATTAAAGAAAATGATCGTCAGATAGTATATTAATTATGTTTCTATTTTTATCAGTGTTTTTATTTCTACAAATTCTACCGAACTATACGAATAGAATACGAACAAAAACTGAATTTGATTTTCGATATCTAATAAAGTTGTCGTATAGAATACTATGTGATTCAAGTAGCATCAATTCACTAAATAATTTTTGTTGTTTTCGAACTTTCGAAAAGATATTTAGATATAAATTTAATATGTAAATTAAAATAATAATTCATTTCATAATTATTTGCTCAATGATACTGAAAGATACAGAAGAAAAATAAAACTTATTCACTTGTTACATATGCCAAATCACAACGTAAACAAGTACTTTTATCAAAGAAAAAACAAAGAGGTGTGTATCTTATCTATAACTGATGTTTTCTTGGAGGAAATCAAATCAAATTATTATATCATGTGTAAATGAGTAAGCTATTTATTCAAAGATTCGCCTTTTCTAACAAAATAAATATCTTAGATATAATAAAAAGAAAAAACAATATGTAAAATGTGTCTGTGAGAGATGTATTAAAGCCACAAGCTGACAGAATTCCAATAATCACTTGTAAAGTGAAAATTTTGTAGTTCTGTATTTCTTTTGATCCATTCACATGTTATAAGGTGTTCATTGTTGATCTTACGTGATTGTCGAATTATTATGTCTGTTAATGTCTTCTTCATTCTGTTAAGAAGTTGTGGTAGATCAGTAATAGATGATGAGTGAATATCGAGTCGTTCGATATGAGTAAACGAATGACAAAGTGCATCGATATCGGTTGAGCATAACACATGAAGCTTACTCTGGAAGTCATTTTCAATCTTTAAATCAACAATATGAGGCCATTGGTGAAGAAAAAAGTAGTTGAGATTAATATCAGAAACTTGCAACCGACACAAACGAGGTAAACTATGTAAAAATTCGATGTGTTCATGAGACGAATTTCTACTCCACTCTGGACCAATAATACATGTCATAATTTGTGATGTATCAAGACAGGCTACACGATCTCTGAACGTAGGAAACGGAACAGTAATTTGTGATAAATAGAATTCTTTGATGTGAGTGTATCGATGCAAGAGCGGATATTGCAAATATTGATCATTAATTATTAAGCGATGAACATAAGAAAATGATGTTGGCTCTAACGCTGTTGATTCTGATACTAGCGTTCCAATTATTTCATGCGGTGGATAGACGATAAGAGATGACAAATTCGAATAGAGCATCGAAGAACCATCAGCATTTAATCTTCGATCGTAGGTAACAAACCACTTTTTCTCTTCAAGCCAAAATTTTGTGCGAAATGAGTCAAGATTGAATTGTTGTTGTTCGAAGGCATCATAGGAAAATTTAAGTTTAAACTCAAAATGTTTGATATGTTGCAACGATCGTGCCCAGGCAAAACCATCCGCCATATCACTATTCACATTGTCAGCAATGATCTTCAAATAGGCGAGTCGTGGAAATGAACAGAGTAAAGTTGCCATCTCTGTCCAAGTGATAGTCCATAGTTCGATATGCATTTGTTGCAAATGCAATAGGTGAGGATGAATTCTACCTAATTTTAAGTCTGGAGTCTGAAATCTACCTTCTAGAGTGTGAAGCATAGGTGCAACGGCAAGAAGACTTAATAAATCAATGGTTACGAGTTCTAAATGAAAATATTGAACAGACGATAATATTGTCGAATTTGGAGAACGAATTTTCACATTGCCACCTAAAAAGCCAGTCATTTTGACAGAGAGACGTTGGAGCGACGGCGAAAGAAAGAGTAATTCACCCAAAATAACAGACGTCATCGATAAACGTGCTAATATATCAGAATAGACCAAATGAAGTGAGAGTGTCACGATGTGTGGTGGAAGTCGAGTTTTGAATAAACACCATGTGCCATACTTTATATGTGTCAAAGTTAGTGAACGAAGATTCGGAAATGTTTTATCAATGATGCTGAATCGTGAAAGGAAAAGAGGATTTTTTACAGATGTCATTACATCATTTTCATTGAAAAGTGTCAAAGATATAACTTGAGAGGTCGAATAAAGTAGTTGAGTACAGATAGAGTCAAACTGACTCTTGCTCATCGATGTTTCCATATAACTGAAGTTCAGTTGAAAGCGAGAATAGTCCTGAGAAACCGAACGAAGGCGTTTGTTGACAAAACATACAGACGAGAGAATATCAAGTGATGGAACATTGTCTAGAATTTTATGAATTAATTCTGCAGGCAATGTTGTCAGATTGTCCGACATAATTTTTCTGATCATGCAACTGCTATTTCTGTTTCATAAAAGTATATACATGGACGACCGAAAACAATAACCGTCCTGTTCGCACTTCGTTGAAATATTCGACCAGTATATTTGCCGGATGTTGCTTAGCAAATGCTCTCTTTCTATCTTAGTCATAGATATAATATGATAAATTCGGCTTCTTAATGTCAACTATAGGTCGGTAGGGTAACAACAGCAAATGATATTTCCACTGAGATATCCTTTTTATTGAAGTTAACTACCGAATTAAAAGGAATTTATTTCTAATATTGATATTGATTTGGCATATTTATAATGTGTTTCTTATCTGGCGAAACTCGTGCTTGAGATTAACATCTTTAACATTGAATCAAATAAATGGCATCGTTTAAACCGGCAATATTTTCAATGAAAAAAAATGTGTCTTCGTATGCTTTTGTCATAACCGATACCTGTTACGTGTGAGTTCAATCCAATTGGATAGACATCGAGGTCATGACCGATGAGCAAATGCATTTGTTATGTCATGAAGTAAAGTTTCTTTTGTTGAAACGTGGCATATAAATATATTATTCGAGCAATATTGACTTGCTTCCTCGATTGTTGCGCCTATCATATTCATTTTCTTCAATATCGCCAGCCTTCAATCAAGTGACTATGGCATGACTTCAGGATACAAAATTTGTCGACCGCATTGTACTGTTGGTCTATCTGTTCTCTCTTTATATTCTTTATGATATGTTCATACTCATGACGAGGATATCCTTTCTTCTGACTACGTGTTGCATTCGTTACATCTGTAGACGCTTTCGAAACGTATAGGAGAGGAAAAGTGTAGCAGAACAGGACGAAGGATGAGATGACAATGAAAACAGAAACACAAACATATTAGTGTGACAAGGTGACTGATTGTCGTCAAGTAGCAATAGGAACACAAACTAACAAGCCAGTCGTCGACTGATAGACGACTAGAAATCAGAATGCATAGAGTAAATACGCTATATATTCGACAAAAACTATATGCAAGTAAGAAAACACACTACTTAATTTCAGTTGTTTCTATTACAAGTTGGTCCCAGCCGGAAATTTCTTATAAAATCAATTTAATTCTGTAACTGATGCAGATCTTCACATTACATCAGACGTATTAATATTAATAAGTATTATGCATGAAAGCAAGAATATTATTTGATATGGTATGCTTTGTTTGCCAATAATTTCTTCAACTAATTTTACGTTCCATCGAGAAATGGTTTTAAACAAACAAGAGAATTTTTTACAGTTACATTTCTTCCATGGTTAGAAAGATGTAGTACCATTAGAACGATGAAATTTGTATGTCTATTATTATTTTTATGTTTTAAATTCAGGCTGCATTGTTAATTAGTAAGATATAAATGTAAATAAATCAAATTTCTTTTATAATCAACCGAAGCACTTGAAACATGAGGAAATTTCATGACTATCATGAATTCTATACCAAAAACACAACAAAAAAATTGGCACTTCGGGTGACGACGGAAACATCAATTTTGAT